AACTTCAATCTTTGTGCACTTCTTGACCATATGACCAGACTGGCCAGGGCAGGTCACACCTAAATGGTTTATTGGATAATTGCATATCAAGTGACAGGGGGCATCCATTGTCAAGCTGCTGTAAGAAAAAAACTTTGGGAATATATGGCCTATTCATGAATATAAATATGTAAATTTTAAAGTCAGCAGTTTTAACATTTTAGGTGATATCATGTTACAGCTTAATTTTTTTTTATTCATTGTATTCATATTTTTATTACCCAGTATTTAACTGTAAGTGTAAAATAATACCCCTTAAAATCAAAGTTATAGAATTAATAAGGTTAAATTTAAATATGCTCAGTAATGGATAATTGAATAAGTGTTTTTAAAGCTTTTTTTTAATGGCCATGTATTTCAATTTTCTAGTGTACAAATGGAAATTCAATGTGATAGTTCTGGCCCAATTAATTAAGTTTGTAACAACATAAACTTTTTTTTCATAAGCTCAAACAAATCAAGGAATGGTTTATATTTAAGCTAAAATATCATTTCTATAATATGTAACTTAGAGATAATTCCACATGTTCAATATCGAAAGAGAATATTAATACATTGATTTGAAAACAATCAATATACTGTGATTATTTAGTATTCAACTGTGTAATGCTTGCATATATTTTAAAGATATAAATAATTAAAATATTATCCATAAAATAAATAAATGTGATAACTTTATTCATGATTTCAATATTAATAATTTAATGTATAAAGGGAATACTTTTTTTGAAGAGGAAAATCTCAAGTCATGCTGTGTATTGGTCTTTTCTGAGAGGGACTGTTTTCATTATACCACTCTCCTGCTGATAAGAGGGCCTCAGGGTAAATAACAAAGAACAGTCAATTTTGCAGATTATAAGTATGCATTCAAATCCCCTGGTTTTCTCAAAATGCATGTTAGACATAAGCCTGGGATTCATCAGGCGTTGACACTGAGGCTAGTTAGTCATACAGATAAATGACCATAATTTTTGTATAATCGAATATGGAAAACATATCATAATGGCATAAATGCAGATTAGATATTATTGTCTCTAAAGCTGAATTTTATATATTTATATCCATTTATCCACATTTCTTCCCATTCAGCATAATAATATATGACTTAAGAGGCAATTCCTCATGTTCAAGATTAAAAGAGAATAGTGATTCATTGATTTTAAAACAATCCATACACTGTGATTTTATGTTTTTCAACCACGAAATGATTGCATACTTTTTAAAGATATATTTTAAATAATTAAAAAATTTCCATGAAATAAAAAGAATTGATAACTTTATTCAAGATTTCTATATCAAAAATTTAATGTATAAAGGGAATGCTTTTATACAAGAGGAAAATCTCAAGTCATGCTGTGTATTGGTATTTTTCTGAGAGCGACTGTTTTCATCACAATGGTCTCCTTGCTGATAAGAGGGTCTCAGGGTAAATAACAAAAATGCAGATGTATGCAATATTTAAGTAAAATTTCCTCTTTTTTTTCAAAGTACATGTAAGACATAGATAAATGACTATAATTTATTTTTGTATAATCAAATATAAAAAATAATGACATAAACGCATGTTAGATATTACTGTCATTATTGTTTTTGAAGTGGAATTTTCTTATCTTATCATAAAAAACTGGTTTGAAATTAATATAAGTGTTAACTATTCTAGAAAGACCTCATATCAATTTTTATCCACATTTCTTGCAATTCTGCATTAAAATTTGCAGCATATTTTAGTTTCTGAACTGGAAAATGTTTATCCTTTCTATTATAGATTTGACAAATTTGCCTTGTCAGTTTTAACACATTTAGAAGATAACATATTCTAAAGAAAATATATAAAACTTTTGCAACTTCCTTTTCACTTTAATGCAGATCTGTTTTTTGTTTGTTTTTTTTTTAAATAAAATAATATACATGAGCATAAAACAGTTACAGAAGATTAAAGTGTCAAAAGTCATGCTGTGTATTGGTGTTTTAATATAGTACCCTGCTGATAAGAGAGCCCCTCAGGGTAAATAACAAAAGGCAGATGAAAAATATAAGTAGGCAATGTAACTTCTGTATACTCTGGATGTTGGTGCAAATAAATTTCATTACAATTAGTACAAAAAGAAAAAAAGAAAACTAAAAAAGAAATTGCATTTTATAATAAACTCATAAAAGTAATCATATTGCATAATTATGTTACAATGCATGAATAGAAGAAAAATGATTGGTGTCGTCTCAAAAAATGGAATTGAAAGATTTTCTAATCTTTTTGTTAATATCCATGTCAGTTAAAGTATATTAGTGTCCCACAGGTACATATCAATACTTAATTCACACATATCAATACTTAATCAACATTTCATATATATAGAACTGTTTATTTTCAGATTAATATATATCATTTATATTAATCTTAGGTAAATCTCAGTTTGAGAAGGTAAGAGAGATTTGAACTGTTTATTTTCAGAATAATATATATCATTTATATTAGTCTTAAGAAAATCTAAGGTAAGAGAGATTATAAATGAGATAAAATTGACAAATTTTAGGCAAATTAAAACATATTAATTCTTTAATGTATTAAAGGCTATTAATGCTTAAAATCATTACCCTTAACTAAAACAACCAGAGAGGACATTCCTAAGCTTTATAGCTTTCTGCCCAATCCCAAAATGTACTTTGTAAATATTTATCACTTGTTCAATGTTTTGTTGAATAATAAATATGTTTAAACCAAAACAACCATAAGATAAGATCAAAAATATCTAATTAGTATAATTTGCCCCCCCCCCAAAAAAAAGACAAAAAACATTTCAATGTTTCATATTTCATTAGCAGATTATAATAAAATAGAATCATATCAAATATCAATTAATTTTGTTTATTTGTAAGTTATTATTATTTATATTTACTTATTCTATCAATTAAATTTTAAAGTACAAATTTTGTAAAATTAATGACTTTGAAAAATTATTGTGCTAATATTTTACACCATATTTTACAAAATTCAATATTCACAACATCAAATTTATTATAAAAAACTATTATACAGATATCTATATTTATCTATCTTTTTGTAAAAGATAAATTGCTATTCATTGAAATAAAAGGTAACTGCTAAAACATATAATAGGTCTAGTGCACTACAAAGTGCACTTATGAAGTGCACTAGTAGTGCACTACTAGTGCACTTTGAAGTGCACAAGTAGTGCACATCTAGTGCACCCCTAGTGCACTTTGTGTAACCTTTAGTGTGAACTCAACTGTATTCATCAGATAACCGGATAGTCTGTGTACATGTACAATTGCCCCTGCTGTGAGGTTCGTTATTTATCGTTTCAACATATATGATCCGTTCTAATTAATTCTAATTAAGATTGAAATTGTAATTTGCAAGGATTATTGCTCATAATATTGGAATTTTATATGTTTACTTATGATTTTTTTTCACTTGCCCTGTCGGACAAGTTCTTTTGAAATTCACTTGCCCTGACCAAACTTTTGGTTGTCCCGGGCAGTCGGACAACCGTTAATGTCGAGCCCGGACCAGCCCTATTTTTATGACCTGATAGTATACTTTTTAAAATTTCCTGACCAAGTTTATAAACAATCTGAACTACAGTATTTGCATGCAAAATGTGTTTAGATTTTTGATAAATAATTCTGATTTAAAAAAACAACAAAAAACAAAAAAAAAACAACAACAACAAAACATAAAAAACAAAAACATGTCAAAGTACTTAAAGCGAGTGGAGTGTTCTGTGTAGAAGTGTGTACTGTGGTAGATCGTGCGACCGAGTTAATTCCCATTACGGCCGGTTATATAAATGTAAGCAGTAAGTCAATAATTTTTGGTGATTGGCTACATTACACGAATTGTCAACAAAAAAGACCCTATGAGATATCATGTAAGACAAAACAATCGTAGTACACGGTCCTGAGATTTGGTCTCAAAAACAGTCTTTATTGGGAGGCACGATTTACTAGACACAACTATATTAGAACATGTATAACCCATTATTCAGCGAACTAAAACAATTCAGTGACCAAGCGATCCTTTTTTACTATGAACAGAAGACCCATACAATATATAGAAATATTTAAACCACGTATCATCAATTTCTTTGATTTAATATTCACCATTTCAAACAGTTAAAACATTATAAGCGAACGAAAAGCAACGGCACCTGTTTTTTCCGGCATCACGAATTCGTTTACACTTCAATTTTCTAGAGAAATGCGCACGTTCAAGTTGTTAACCAAGATACCAAGAATGCAACTATAAGACGACTAAAATATGCGTCCAACTTAATGGCAAAATAAACTTTAAATGACCATTCATTCATATTGAACAATTCATATAAGACACTTGTAATTAAAGGATAGTTTAACTATTCTCCCCCTCAACAGTTCTTTCACCTGACTGTTCTAATCCTATTATGTTAAGTCTAGTTATGTGTTAACTGTTTCGCCATAGTTATCTTTAATGTCCTTTCTTTTTGAACTAAACATTTGTTATCCTTAAGGAAAATATATTTTTCACATAGAAATGATGTGTGACTTTATAGATACAGGCATGCAGATGTTTACATTGCCTAACTCATCTCCTTTAGATATAGGAATAAAATAGCGTAAGCTTCTTTTAGAGAGTCCGAAAATGAGTCAGTATCAATATCACTGTTAATAGTTGATCATAGATGCAATAAATGTGGTTTTAACAGTAACGTCAAATATTTGGTTAAATATTGTTCAAACCAGTTGGTTAATTAACATCTCAATAGTGTAATCGGTTAATAAACGAAAAAATGTTGTTGTTCAGTTCATCATTTATGTCTTAGTCAAACTTTGTGGAATTTGCTTCTACTGAATTCAATAATGTTGTATTGTATATAAGGTGAAATGTTTGTTTAGTTTCATGTTTAAATTAATATTATGTTTTGTTTAATTCTTATGTAATGATTTTGTGTTATATAAATTGATTAATTCATATCACAAACGCTGTAATGTTCAAAAGCACACGGAACATCATTCAAATACCATTCGCTATCTGATTTATATAATTGAACACAATCTTCTTGAGAAGCTGTGTCGTTTGGTTCTCCTGGGCCCCATTGGATAGCGCCGGGTGTATCAGCGAAGGCAGTCCCGTCTTCCCATAGGAACGTTCCTTCTGTTGCCATATCATTTCCCCCAATCCACATAGGCAAATCAGTATCAACGCCATCTTAAAAGGTGAAAATTATATGGCCATGGCTTAAAGTGTGGTACAAATACAAGCTGTTTATTTCTTTTGTAAGGTCTAAATGACAAAATGGCAACTTAATAATATAAACACGGTGAATAATCTTCAAAATATATTAGACTTAGATATTTCCATGTACTATAATGTTAAGAAAAAAAAACATACCATATAATATTAAAGAAGAGACATTGGGCAGAGACACATAGGTATGTATTGAATATAAATACATGTTAATATGTAATATATTTTAGAGCGAAAGATGCAAATACAAACAAACTTACAGAATCCACTAAGAATCCTAACAATAGAATCATGTTGTTGTCGAGTCTTTATTGACACAAGACTACCTCCTAGTTCAGAGCATTTCGCCTACAAACGTAAAGCAAATTTATTAATTTTAGATTACAACGATAGTATGAAAAATATTTCTAGATCTAAATGATTGAAGAAAGTAGAAGTAAATATAAGCATTTCCAAAAAATAAAGGAATCGCCATTCGGCTAGGTATTGGATTTATTTTATTTATTTATCTTTTTTGAATAATATATTCATTTTCAGTTTTCGTGAAATCAACTTTTTCCTGAAAAATGGAGCTTATGTTTCTTCTTTTAAAAGAAATATTCTGAGTATTGTTTAAAAGCCAACATATGCAAATGAATTCAATAATTCAAAAATGCAAACGTAAAATTCAATTATAGGCTCAATGTCATAATCCTTAATGTTCTATATCCATGTTTCCTAAAGTACGATATACAAATAAACCAATTTTATGTCGGCTGAATATCTTTTTTCTAAAGATACTTCTTGTTTGTAAATAACTCTTTTTCACGAAGGATTTTAATAACGTTGAGTGTAGGACTTTTGCAGACTATCTAATGGAAGTTGTAATCGTGAATTCATGAAATTGAAATCGTGAATCCGTGAATTCCGTAGGTTAACAAAAATGAATTCACGAATTTATTTTTGTGAATTCACGAAAATGAAAACAGGAATTCATGAAGTTGAAATGTCCACATCGGTCATTCATAATATATTACTCACATACATTAAAATGATAGTGATAGTTATGTTTATATTGATACTTATATAATTGTAATTCTACAAGTAAAATAATTTCAAAAATCTCTCATTTGGCTCACATATCGTAAACCGTATGTACACTTATTATCAGAACTTAAACATGTTTTATCTAAAAATCAGAAAATCAGAAAGAAAATGAAATTTACTGACCATTGCATTTTTCCAATTCAGCTCTTGTTGAATGAGCCGGTAACCTAAAGATCAATCATTTAAAGTATACTTAAACGAACATTCACATATTTGAAACATTTCTCTTTGACGATTTGATAATGATGTGCATAATAAATGTATTTATTTATAAAATAAATAAATAAATTAATTAATTAATTAATTAATTAATAATTAATTAACAAATAAATAAATAAATAAATAAAATGAACAACAAAACTGTCACCCATTATTTGTTAAGATTAAAGGAAGTATTCAAACTAGCTAAGTTATTAGATGAAGAGAGCCAGAAGCGAACCAAATAAGCCTCCATAAGCTTATATTCTTCTAAAATGTTAGAAAGATCTTATTGTTTGGATTTTGGTGGACTTTGGTCGTCTGTGAACGTCATTCCGCATTTCCCCATATTTATTTGGTTCAAATGTCATCTAGAACTGACCATAAAGTGAAATCGAAAAGAATAAAGTCCCGCTAAATTGCACGTTATTTAAAGGCTATACTCAGCACGAAAGCAAAATCACTGCATTTACCAGGAATGATTTTAAACATGCTACCTATGCGACTGTAAAACTTTGTTCCAGCATCGATGAGTGTTTCATTTTCACCGAAGTAAGTGCAACCAGTGCATTTCCTTGTTTCTGAATTGTAGAATATTGCGAAACACAGGTCAGTGTTCGAACAGAGTACAGCGCATTCCACCCCAGATGTCACATTTTCTGCCTTAAACACGGTTCTATCCGAGGTACAAACCAGACCATCAGTGTTGTTCAAACGGGCATACTTTATAAATCCATCCTGGTCAATACTTCCCGAAGCAACGTTCAATTGTCCACTAAAGAAGATGATAAAATATAAAGAAAAACAACAAGACGCCGTCATTTTGACTCAATACTTATGTCTTCTTGCACAATTATTGATGCTACGCGTGTCTTAAGTTTTCTTTAAATTCCCATTTATTTAACAAACAAAGCAGCAGGAGAGAAATTAACACAGAATAACAAAATCATTTTCGGCCCATGTCAGTCAACTCCTTAACATCTGCCTAAATAACAATGACATTACATTACACTCAGCGGCTCTAATGGACCACGTGAGAAGGAAATATAAATTATTTACAATGCAAATCAAGGTTTGTCTTCTTTGCTTTTACATTAGATTTTCTTTATTCAGGGCGCCGATTTCCAAGAGAGTTTATGTCTATAAGGAAAAGAAAAAAACAGGAAGAAAAATATTTATTGACAAAAGTAAATTTATCCCATATTCTATACCGTCAGCTTATTCGCCAGCTGTTTAGAACCGTTCACCAGAAGGCGAGAGTCGACAATGCGATAACACGATGACGACAGTGCGACAATGCGATGGCGACAGTGCGACAATGCGATGACGACAGTACGACAATGCGACAGTGCGATGGCGACAGTGCGATAACACTATCGCTCTGTTGTCATCGTACTATCGTGTTATCGCATTGTCGCCATCGCACTGTCGCATTGTCGCCCTCTGTATTTTAACGTATAACCACGATGGCCCTAACGGTATTCCGTAATAATATTTAATATGTCAAAATAAATTTTAGACATATTATTCAACCACTGACATTCTTTTTCTTCTGACATAAGAGATAACACTGGCCTGTCCTTTGGTTTGCTGATAATATCTTCCATGTCCATCATGTCTATGATTAGAGTGAAAAAATACGCATCTGTCACATCCTCGATGAACAAAAATTGAGATCTACAAAAACAAAATAATTTTAATTTTAAAGATTTTTGAACGAAAATAGAACATGGCACAAATAATTTCCTGGAAATGGGTTGGAAATTGGATCACGTATTTGTATGGTTAACAATAGTATTTCCTATAACATCTGCTAAAGATATATGTCGGAATTGAAAACACCCACCACTGTATTTGTATGATGAAAATATATATTTCAACTGCTAAAGATATGTCGTATTGAATTATGTATCTTGTAAGATGAAAAATAGTATTTTATCTACTAAAACGTGTCGTATTCACTCATTTTTTGTATGATAAACAATAGCATTTTATCTTAGAGAAACTGTCATATCCACAATCATGTATCTCACTTTTACCATATACATCCACAGAGTCACCTTACCTGTGCCGACCAAGCCAAGTTGCTCGACAATGATTATATTTGTGTACGTGTAATGCATTAAAGTGGAAAAATGCATCAGTTTCTTTTTTGTGCTATTCGTACCCAAGTCTTTAATCTCTACATTATGCACAATACTCCTTTGGTAGAAGCTTGGTATGTTTGCAGACGATATCATAAAAAATACGCCCCCCAAACATACCCATAGCAATACAAACTATTTGTAAACCAGTAAAGTACTTTATCTGTTTACTTTTTTCCTGGGTTTTTTTAAAAAATAACTGATAATTTTAAACATATTTTAATATACGTAAAAAAAGAAATGAAATTCCCCGAATTTTCAGTTTGTGTTCCCCAAAAGCCCCCCCTTTTAAAAATTCAGTCCCCAAAGTTTTTTAAATAAAAATATTGAAAATAAATGAAAAGCGAGTGTACAGTGTCACATTTTTTAAAGGGCAAAACAAACCCTAAAACTTTTTGGAAAATTAGACACTTATTTTTCAAAGGAAAAAGACATCCCAAATAGCAAAGGCTACAATTTTTTTTCGAACAATTCTTAATCAAAAAACAAATTTTAAAAAATTTGAAAAATATACTGCAAAGAAAAAGCCAAAAATTCAAAAAGAAAAAAGAATATTTTTGTGATATTCACTAAACATCTCCCAAGGGAAAAAGTTTTCCTATTGGCAGCCTTAAATTGCATTAAACAATAAAACTTGTATCCTTTTCGTTTAATTAAAAAGGAAGAAAGAAAATACATACTAAAAAATTGAATACTTCTTAATCTTAACAATTAAATTGTTTAATTATGAGGCATACAGCTAATGCCATTTCCTTCGAGAAAATTAATGTTATAAAAAACGACAATACAAAATGATTTAAAGAAAATTACCTGTTTACACCATAAAAATGATGTAATTTTCTACCAATTGCCTCATTGAACATAATTTTTAGGTATGAAGGTATATTTTTAGGAGGAAAACGGTAACCTGTTAAAACCGATAACTTCGATCGAAACGTCCGAATATCGGTTAAAAAAAACTGATAGTTCGATTAACTGGAAAAAATGTATAATTTTTAATTTCTATTTTGCTATTTAGAACATTAAAATTTAATAAAATGGTATCCAATTTAAGCTTTCAGAAAATTTCGGAAAGTTGCATTTTACCTTTTATTTAAAAAACCTGTTTTAAATTTTCAAAACCAAACTTCCCTTTCAGAAGGTGCGAAAATGATAAAACCAAAAAAATTTAAAAGAGGACGATCAAAAAATTTGACACGGCCCCAAAATGTTTTCCCCTTACGTTTAAACCGGCCCTCTTATATATTTAGTAAAAACCCTTTAAAATTTTGTAAAAACAAATACCCGAATCTTGTTTTAAGGCCCAAAATTTTTTTAAAAAACAAAAAGGGCCCCTTTTTTGTATTTTTAATTTTGAAAAAATTAAGGTAGTATTTAAACCGGGGAAAACCCTTTTTTCCGCCGATTAGTCTAAATTTTTTTGCAAAAAGAAAACGATTTTTCAACTGTTAAAAAAGTTTTAAAATTTAAAATTGCCCTTAAAAAAAAATATTTCTAAATATAATGTCGTTTGGGTTT